GAAAGAAAATGTAGAATGAAGTAAAAATCTTAAGTAAATCCACATGTTTCATAGAATCTCTATGGATAGTAATTTCGTGCTCTAATAAGAATATAACACTAGGGATCTATTATCGGCCACCTGACCAGGACAGCGATAGTGACAATGAAATGCTAAGGGAGATTAGAGAGGCTATCAAAATTAAGAACTCAATAATAGTGGGGGATTTCAATTATCCCTATATTGACTGGGAACACGTCACTTCACGACGAAATGCAGAGACAAAATTTCTTGATACTTTAAATGACTGCTTCTTGGAGCAGCTGGTACAGGAACTCACAAGGGGAGTGGCAATTCTCAATTTAGTCCTGAGTGGAGCGCGGGGATCTGGTCCAAGAGGTAACTATAACAGGACCGCTTGGAAATAGTGACCATAATATAACATTTAACATCCCTGAGGTGGGAAGAACACCTCAACGGCCCAACACTGTGGCACTTAATTTCAGAAAGGGGAACTATGCAAAAATGAGGGTGTTAGTTAAACAGAAATTAAAAGGTACAGTTACTAGAGTATCAGAGGGTAGCCGTGTTAGTCTGTATCTACAAAAACAACAAGGAATCTGGTAGCACTTTAAAGACTAACAGATTTATTTGGGCATAAGCTTTCATGGGTAAAAACCTCACTTCTTCAGATGCAGTGACTAGAGTGAAATCCCTGCAAGCTGCATGGACACTTTTCAAAGACACCATAATAGAGGCCCAACTTAAATGTATACCCCAAATTAAAAAACACAGTAAAAGAACTAAAAAAGAGCCACCGTGGCTTAACAACCATGTAAAAGAAGCAGTGGGAGATAAAAAGGCATCTTTTAAAAAGTGGAAGTCAAATCCTAGTGAGGTAAATAGAAAGGAGCATAAACACTGCCAAATTAAGTGTAAAAATGTAATAAGAAAAGCCAAAAAGGAGTTTGAAGAACAGCTAGCCAAAAACTCAAAAGCTAATAACAAAATGTTTTTTAAGTACATCAGAAGCAGGAAGCCTGCTAAACAACCAGTGGGGCCACTGGACGATCGAGATACAAAAGGAGCGCTTAAAGACGATAAAGTCATTGCGGAGAAACTAAACGAATTCTTTGCTTCAGTCTTCACGGCTGAGGATGTTAGGAAGATTCCCAAACTGGCTTTTGTAGGTGACAAATCTGAGGAATTGTCACAGATTGAGGTGTCACTAGAGGAGATTTTGGAATTAATTGATAAACTTAACAGTAACAAGTCACTGGGACCAGATGGCATTCACACAAGAGTTCTGAAAGAACTCAAATGTGAAATTGCAGAACTACTAACTATGGTTTGTAACCTGTCCTTTAAATCAGCTTCTGTACCCATGACTGGAAGATAGCTAATGTAATGCCAATATTTAAAAAGGGCTCTAGAGGTGATCCCGGCAATTACAGACGGGTAAGTTTAACGTCAGTACCGGGCAAATTAGTTGAAACAATCATAAAGAATAAAATTGTCAGACACATAGAAGAACATAAATTGTTGGGCAAAAGTCAACATGGTTTCTGTAAAGGGAAATTATGTCTTACTAATCTATTAGAGTTCTTTGAAGGGGTCAACAAACATGTGGACAAGGGGGATCCAGTGGACGTAGTGTACTTAGATTTCCAGAAAGCCTTTGACAAGGTTCCTCACCAAAGGCTCTTACATAAATTAAATTGTCATGGGATAAGAGGGAAGATCCTTTCATGGATTGAGAACTGGTTAAGAGACAGGGAACAAAGGGTGGGAATAAATGGTAAATTTTCAGAATGGAGGTGGTAACTAGTGGTGTTCCCCAAAGGTCAGTCCTAGGACCAATCTTATTCAACTTATTCATAAATGATCTGGAGAAAGGGGTAAAAAGTGAGGTGGCAAAGTTTGCAGATGATACTAAACTGCTCAAGATAGTTAAGACCAAAGCAGACTGAAGAACTTCAAAAAGATCTCACAAAACTAAGTGATTGGGCAACAAAATGGCAAATGAAATTTAATGTGGATAAACGTAAAGTAATGCACATTGAGAAAAATAACCCCAACTATATATACAATATGATGGGGGCTAATTTAGCAGCCTACAACTAATCAGGAAAAATATCTTGGAGTCATCGTGGATAGTTCTCTGAAGACGTCCACGCAGTGTGCAGTGGCAGTCAAAAAAGCAAACAGGATGTTAGGAATCATTAAAAAGGGGATAGAAAATAAGACGGAGAATATCTTATTGCCCTTATCTAAATCCCTGGTACGCCCACATCCAAGGGTGGCTCTATGTATTTTGCCGCCTCAAGCACGGCAGTCAGGCAGTCTTCGGCAGCACGCCTGCGGGAGGTCCGCTGGTAACGCAGATTCGGTGGCATGCCTGCGGGAGGTCCGCGAGTCCTGCGCCTTCGGCGTACCCACCGCCGAATTGCCGCTGAAATTGCGGGACCGGCAGACCTCCCGCAGGCATGCTGCCAAAGGCGCCTGACTGCTGCCCTCACGGCGACCAGCAGGCCGCCCTCTGTGGCTTGCCACCCCAGGCACGCGCTTGGTGCCTGGAGCCGCCCCTGCCCACATCTTAAATACTGTATACAGATGTGGTCTCCTCATCTCAAAAAAGATATACTCGCATTAGAAAAGGTTCAGAGAAGGGCAACTAAAATTATTAAGGGTTTGCAACAGGTCCCATATGAGGAGAGATTAAAGAGGCTAGGACTTTTCAGCTTGGAAAAGAGGCAGGGCCGGTGCAAGGAAGTTTCGCGCCCTAGGCGAAACATCCACCTTGCGCCGTCACCCCCCAGCCCTGCGGCAGCTCCCCGCCTCCCCTCCGCCCTGAGGCCCCACCCGTGGCAACTCCCCACCCCCAGGGAGCCGTGCAGCAGCTCCCCACCCCAGCTCACCTCTGCTCCGACTCCTCCCTGAGCACGCCGCACCCGCTCTAATTCTCCTCCCCTCCCAGGCTTGCGGCGGCAAACAGCTGATTGGCGCTGCAAGCCTTGGAGGCGGGGGAAGTGGAGTGGGTACAAATGGCTCAGGGGAGGGGGGCACG